AGGACATGTCTTAGGGTCACCTCAGGTCGCATACAGCATTTGATGTTGTTTGCTGTCAGAACTTTGCGAATCCTTTCGGTGGTCCCTTTGACATAGGGAAGTGTGGCAAAACCTTTGGGCTGGCTAGGTTCTTCGTCAGTGATCTTATTATTCTTGGGAGAAATTGAATGTCTTTCCAAAAAGCTAGAAGGGTATCCGTTCTCAAGGAGGGCGGTGGTAAGATGATCGTGCTCAGCTTGCTTCACATCATCATCGGACAAAAGATTTTCTTTACGATGGACTAGAGTTCGTACAACTGCTGCCTTGTGTGAAGAAGGGTGGTGACTAGTGTAATCCAAGTATCTATCAGTGTGGGTTCGTTTTCGGTAGATTGATATTTTGATAGTACCATCTTCAGACACCCTGTTAAGCGTGTCTAAAAAAGGCAGTCCACTATCAGCATATCGTTCAATGGTGAAGTCGATGTTGTCCTTGTCCTGTTCTTTTAGGTGCTTGTGGCATTCATCGATATTGCTCTTCTTGATAACACAGATTGTACCATCGACATAACGTTTGAAGATTCTAGGTGGTTCAAGAAACGTCGAGAGAGCTCTAGATTCGATCACTTCCATTACAAGGTTTGCGACAGCTACAGATATAGGCGACCCCATAGCTGTACCATGTATCTGCCTGTAGTACTTGTTATTACAGCTGAATTCAGTGGCTGGAGGCTTGTCAAATTGCCAAGGGAAAGAACATATTGTTCAATAGGGACAAAGGTCGAACACTGCCTGGAAACTATTTATGCTTGCTCAATAATCAATTATTATTCTCATCTTTCTTGAATTCATTTGTAACAGCGCGCGCATTGTCTTTATTGCGCGCGCAAAAGTAGTTTCATTTCAGTTTGAATGCGTTTTTGTTTTTGTTTTTGTAACGTCTTTGTGTTCCCTGAAGATGACCGCTTAGGTCGAAAGCTTGGAAAGAAGTTTAAAATTATTCATGGTTGATTAAACAAACTGCGTATAAATATGAAAAATACAACCAACAAAGATCTTTTAAAATAAATAAGATATTGTGCTAATTCAAGCCTTACTACATGTTACTACTCAAGCTTACGTTGCTTGCCTTTCACATCAAAAACCCATCATCATCTTGTGCAGTTTTACAAACCTTTCTCGCCTTTCTCCTGGATACAGACAGTGGATAACTTTTATTCGGAACAACGTTCGTCGATCAGGAAATGTTTATGTTAAGAGTCAATAGCGAGAGACGTTGTGGTGCAAATCTAAGCATTGGGTTTTATGAAAATCTCTGTATATGGTAGCTCGAAAACTTGTCACGTGATTCATCATAGACATCCAATCAATGTTTTGGTCTTTTTGTTGTCCTTTTCACCTTTATAATCTCCAGGGAATTGAATATTTGTCGGTGAAAATTTCAACGTGATTTTATGAATTCAGCAATTAACGTTATGCTAATTAGTGTAGGCCATTATGATAGTTATCAATACTGATCAGAGATCATTGCAACTAAACATTGTGCTAAAACACAAAAAAATTAAAAAGGAAAAATCGTTACCAATTTCTTTTATTTTGGAATATTCAGTAAAATTGCAACATAATCCATTTATTTAACAGTTAGAATTTGTTCGCAGATGCCAAAGTCAAACTTTGTGAGGGAGACATCATTTGTGATAAAGATGATTCTCAACTATCTAAACGCGGAGGCGCTATTAAAGTTCAAAGCAGACTTTGGCCAAATAAAGTCATTCCCTACAAGATAAATCGTCGTAAGTGTTAAGCCGAAATGCATCGTATATAAAATAATTTATGCATTTCAAAATCTGTTGCTGAGCAATATGTTATGGGGGGAGGTGGTTAAATTCAAAATATAAAGTCAAAAATATATATAAATTGAATAAATTGAAGAAAAAAGCACACAACTTGCAACATAGTTTTCTACTCTTTTAATAATGAGCGTTTCGGGCATTCGCCATTCTTCAGCAAACTGAATGTTTTGTACGCGCTACTGCTACAAAAACAAAATATATATAGAATTATATTTTTGAAAACAATTCCTCTGATATTAAAGAGCTTGCACTGCGTTTGCTCTCTATCATAGGTAGCATGTAACTATATGTAGCTAGCATGAAAATGCTTGAATTATTTGAAAAATAATGTGTCACACAAATCAATAGAAGTGCTTTTTCACTTACCAAAATTTAAGATACCATTTTGAAAAGACCCTAGACACCATTTTTCAATCTATGCAACATTTGATAGCATAACCTTTTCAGTTTGACTTAGAGTCTATGTTCGTATACGCGGATTTTGATTGTAATCTCTTGCTTCAAGGTTTTAGTGAAAAGGAGAAGAAAGTGATCAAAGCTGCCATGGCTGAGTTTCATAAGCACACTTAACGTATTCTAAAGTAAAATGTCTTAATACCACGTGCTAATATCGAACAAACCATGTTTGATTACAGTATCAAAACACGCTCGCGCACGTCAAAAATTTCTTTTTTTCTTTTAATTTTAGAAAAGAAATAAAAGACGAAAATCCGTGTTTGATACTCTGATCAAAACACTTGGGATGTAGGGAGAGCACTCGAAAAGCTGGAAACCACTCCGCTACGCGTCGTGGTTTCCTACGCTTCTCTCGTGCTCTCCCTACATCCCGCGTGTTTTGATCAGAGTATCAAACACGGAATTTCGTCTTTTATTCCTTAAATTAAGAAGCCGTACAGCAAGGCCACTTGAACCATAAAATAGAAACTATATAAGTTTAGTTTTCACTAGCTTCGCTAGCGTCAGTCATATTTCATAGTAAAAACATTCTTTGATCCATGACATATCATATCTAATTGATTTTGATGTTCTTCATCAACATCATGCCTTAACCAGACACCTTGCCTATTTGACTTTAAAGGCACCAACAACTCCATGACCTGTAAATTAAAGCAAACATAATGAATTTAAAATTGAGCTTTCAATGGGTCCCTGGAAATAGCGTTACAAGTTACGAAGTTACAAAGTTACGAAGTTACAAGGTTACGAAGTTACAAGGTTAAATTCTGTTACATTTCTGTCAAGAATATGTCAACAACATGTCAACAAGCCCTTCTACTATTACTATATTATTATTATATTCTTTAATTTTATGCGTTAGACATGCCTGAATTGACTATCTTAGTCAAAAAAAACTTAAAAACTATAACTATAAACTAACTCTAAAACGAAGGGAAGGTAGCTAGGTCAACCCCACAGTGACCGCCAGAAATTAATTTCTAGCTCATCCGAAAATGTGAATCACGCTAATATTCCCTCGGATTATCTTTGCCAGAGAAACTCTCCATCCACACATGCAATTTCGTTTCGAAACTTCAACGCTATCACAACGAAAACCCGCTGTATCTCGACCATATCGCCGAAGGTCGGGCTCTTTCTCAATGTATACAACACTCCTCAATATAACCTTACCCTGTCCCTTACCCTAAACCTAACCCTTTGGGAACCCTGTGTTGTATACATGAAGGAAGGTCGAGCCTTGATAAGTTGATACGACCAGGGTTGGACATTTCAAACCATACATTTCAAACCATACTGACCCCTCCCCCGCTTAGTCATAATTATAACTTTTTTTCAAAGCAAAGGACCAGGTTCTCTCCCTTATAGTTAGTTAGTTTATAGCCATAGTTTTTAGAAAAAACAAGTTTTTTTTCTAAGATAGTCTAACGCACAAGATTAAAAGTATATAATTTATTAAGAAGTAGGCAGATTTGGCCACATTCTTGCAAATACTACCGTTTGACACAATCTATAATTGGATTAATTCTGAGCTTCTCATTGGCTAAAAGGTCTTAAAGCGCGAATTTTGAATTTGAAATCAAAATTATGCCGTCATATGGTCACTTAAGAAAACATATTAGTAGTCAAGTTTGAAAAAGTTATTTTTTAACTTCACACAAAATCTTTATGTTCATCTGAAATGGGGAACCATGCGAAAAAAAGTATTTTAGTTCCAAATGAGCGTAAACAATAAGCGAACATGAGCCTTTGTGTGTTTATTGTCTCATGTTACACATATGATAGATACAAATTGAGTCGGAAATTATGCTGTTTAGAAGGTAGCGATTACAAGTACAACATGAACATAAGAAAATGCTTTTCAAAATAATGTTATTATGTAGGCCATTTTATATAAACAAAAAACGAAATTATGTTTCAAAGTTACGATAAATGCTTAGCGGGTGTTCGCCATCGTTAGTTTCAATTTCCTCTTGCGACATATCAAGAACTAGTAAATCCAGCCTCTGGTTCCCAGGGTAGCGACATTATCAAATGTTTTGCTGAGAAACTCTTGACATCCATATACAGGTTTCATGTCGTATAAATGTGCTATATTTGACACTGTAAGAACATAATTACAAGCCGCACTACTAAAATACTAACACCTCTTTACATTGTTCTTCGTTGTATTCACCGCAAAAAACACGGTGTTGGACACACGCAGACTGCAGACTGCAGACCGCAGACTGCAGACTGCAGACCGCAGACTGCAGACTGCAGACTGCAGACTGATAAAAGTAAATATATTTCATATGTAAAAGAAAGAACGCTTCGAAAGGAGACTACACGACATAATGACAGATTATTGGTGAATTTCCAAGCGAGTACAAAACATTGCAGAACGACAACAAGATGTAGCAGGCCCGTAGCTAGGGGTTTTTATTTGCCCTAAGTGGACCAAATCGACAATCATAGTAAAATTTTACCTTTTTTTAACCGAAATGTGGACCTTTAAGAAGTACACGTAATTGACCTTTTGGTCATACAAGAAAAATCGTATAGGCATAGCCTGTGTGCATCAGTTTCTCGCCACTCACAAAAAATATATTTGCGAATTAAGAGTACAAAGGGGACAATTTAAAACAAACAAGAAATACAATATTGTAATAGAGATTATAATATATAATAAACAGAAATATGTAATATTAACTTCTCTGGGATTCACTGGATTCCAATCATTCCTGGACAAACATTTTAAAAACTTTGTTAATGTGACCGACTTGTCAACCATTTGCTATGACGTCATTCAATTATAGGGAGCCCGAACACAAAAAATCAAAAAATATAGGCTCACCTGTATCCTCGTGCTAATCTTTGGCAAAATAGT